AGATTGCTGGTTTGAGATCATCCTGAAGTGCCTTGGAAGATCTACTTCTGAAAACTCACCCGTTAAAAACACTATGAGGAACAGTTGTACCATGACACACATGCTGGGTCGCCATGAGATGCATCCAATTTAATGACATCTGGTTTATACCCTCTATACAATTATATTTCTTAATATATACATAATATATACATAGAAGATACAAAACCAATTTTCTCAAATATTAAATAATCTTCTGCATATATCTTTGTCACCAACATGGGCTATAAATGTACACTATTTTTTTACATATAAAAAGCACAGGCTATTACCACCTTAGTGAAATTTTTAGGAAAATTTGAAAATTGTAATGTCATTCCAAATCTTCCATCACCAGAAAAAAGTTCTTAAAATTCTTGCTTAGAATGTTAGCTTCTTAGCTTAAGACTGCAATCATTGATAGAAAATAAGCATAACTAAGAGAGCTAACGCATAGCCTATGATGTTATACTGTGATCCTTGGACATCTGAAGGTAAGACAACAAGTGGATGAGGCCCCTTGGAGTCAGTAATCACTAATAATCTGCTGAGAAGAGACCGTTAAAAGAGAAAAGAGGTCAGCTGCCTAGGAGAATTTATTTAATTTTCTGCTTTTCCAATGGGTCTCACCTATTCTATGGCTACTCATGTGCCTTCAACCTACAAGACAAACGCTCTTCCATTTGGCCAGCTGGGCTACATCAAACCCTAGCAATAAACAGGTTGACAGATATTACAGTCACAGCACTATCACATTCCACTGAGAGTGTACAAGAATTCACTCTGGCTTCACTCTCCACCATGAATATGCTCTAGGATAGAAGGAGACCTACAAGCATGGATTATTTCACTATACAAAAGCCTGGGTCACAGACCTTGAGAAATAAAAGACTTGGTTCTAATGAATGAACGGCCTCTCTTCACAGCAGCTTTCGTTTTTTCAAGTCCATCTTTGGTTCCTTCCTTTGCAGCCTTCATAAGTTTTTGCATCTGTGAAAAAAGGCAAAATGTGAGAAAATGTGAGAAGTGGTATAACTCAAGAAATAGCTACTTGGTGCCTCTGAGTTGTTTATTTTAAAAGAATACTGTCAAGTAGTTTGGTGTTGAAACATTACCTGCAAATGACTTTTTGATCAGGGAGAACTTTTTTGGTTTGTGTGTGTGTTTCAGTTGTGCTTTGTTTTTTAAATTTTGTATTGTATTTTTTTTTTTTAAAAAAAGGAAAACCAAATTTTAAAATAGAGTCATCCCTTAACATGATTAGAAAAAAAGTTTCCTACTACATTTAAAAGTCAATCTTTACTATTATAACAATCACTTCTAACCACAAAGAGCTTTGTAGACATCACCTAAAAGCAGGTAAGAGACTAAAATACACAAACATTAAACAACTTGTCCCAAATTAAATGGCACATCACAAGAAAGAGAAAAACAACTATACACTTTCATTTCTCCAACTCAGCATTAGCCACTTTATGTTTTTCACGGATGCCGTTCCTGTGCAAAGTGCTTCCAAGTGGA